CCACCACCACCACCACCACCACCACCACCACCACCACCACCACCACCACTACCACCACCACCAATCTAATCCACAGCATGGCTTCTTTAAGAACCTGAGGCCTCCCCAAGGTCAGCAAATAAGGTTAGGAGACATCTCCAAAGAAACATCCAGCCACCTGGCTACCCTTTCCACTTTCATCCACACGCCTAAAACACCCTGGGTGACCAATGTGACCCAGTTCGCCTGGGACTCATGGTCCCATGTCCCAGGAGCCTCATCAATCCAGGCAAACTTGGCTGTTTGGCCATGCCCTTCAGAAGCCTGGGCCCTGATAATATGCAACAGTGGCCAGGGGCTCCGTGTTTCTGTGGACCAGCTCCTGAGCCTCACTGCCAGCCAGCAGGGTGGATGATGAGTGTCAGGGATGGATAACCCAGTCCCCAACACTAGGGCATGCTACAGTTCTGAGCACAGGCTGATCCATGGGGGGAGTCAGGGAGCCTTGGGGAAACAAAGCCTTTTGCACTGGGAAGCAGAAAAAGTCTGGATTCACAGAAGCAGCTGACTCTGCCCACTGGGCATGGCACCTATGGCTTCAGCCAGGAGCTACACCCCACCCCCTGCCCCATCCTGCAATGGACTCTGCAGATGGAATGGGGAAGCTCAAAAAGGAACTTAAGAGTGGGGGTGGGTGGAGGCAGGGGGGACATGGACCCCTGCCTCCGGGTTACACCCTCAGATTCAGGAAGCCCAGAGTCTCCCAGATGCCCAGGCATGCCTAAGAGCATTGCACCATGGCAGCGCTTCTATTTTGGTTTCTCACACACCCAGGAAAGAGAGAAGTAGAGGAAACAACAAGAAGTGGAGGGAAGGGCACGAGAAAGACACCAACTGTGTGTCCCATGGGTCCCACAGCAAGAGCGGGCCTCAGCCCGCACCCCACATCCTCCATCAAGGCTTGATGGAGGGGCTGGCTGGCCAAAGATGGGAGCCAGGCTGTAAATCTGGAGAAGCTGAGGCAGGAAGACAGCAAGTTCAAGGCCAGCTTGGGCTACAAAGAGAGTGGGTTCAAGGCCAGCCTGGGAAACTCAGTCAGAGTCTGTCTCAAGGAAAAAAGTAAAACGGGAGCTGGGGGCATGTGCAGAATTGCAAGCTTGGAACAGCAGCAATTGGCCAAGGCCTGAGGATCAGAAGTTCCTTGGGTGCAAAGCAAGTTCAAGGTTAGCCTGGGCTACATGAGACCCTGTCTTTAAAAAAAAAAAAAACAGACAAATCCAGAAAACAGACATAGGTCAGGGGGGTAGCCTAGCAGGCAAAGTACTGGTCATACAATCATGAAGACAAACGTTCAGACCTGCAGCAACCATGTAATGCTTGGGTGGGTGTGGCAGTGCCTGTAACAACATGTGGGAGGCAGAGACAGGGGATCCCTGAGCAAGCTGGCTAGCTGGGCTAATTGCACCAGTGAGTCTCCGTTCCAGAGTCTCGGTTCCAGTGAGAGACCACGCTGGGAGACGTAAGGTGGAGTGCAATCAAGACAACCAATGTCAACCTCTGGCTTCTGCACACACACACACACACACACACACACACACACACACACACACACACATTTTAAATTTAAAATGAAAATAAGCCAAGATGAATGGGATATAGTTCAGTAGTAGGGCACTCCCCTAGCATATAGAAGGCACCAGGTTCAATCTCTGGTACTAAAAAAGACAGGCGGGAAATAGGTCAGGTGCTGGGTTGGCCTGAGAAGAGGCCAGAGGAGCACAGGACAGAGAGATGAGGGGCCAGGGAGATGAGGGGTGGAGCACAGGGTGCCTGCCCGACACCAAGCCAACAACCAGAGCTCAGTCCCCAGGACTCACAAGGTTGAAGCAGAGAAGTGACTCCCAAAAGTCGTTCTCTGACCTCCACACTCATGCCGTGGCGCACACACACACACACACACACACAC